ATATATATATATATATATATATATATATATATATATATATATACATGTACATATATATATGTAACTTTTAATAGTACTATCAAATCAATATTGTCAGAAATCAATTTCTAATACATTTTTTAATACATTTTTTGACAAATTACGAAAAAAGATAATATGATACATATGATGTTCCATTTTAATCAACGCGTTTAAATATCTTGGAAACTAAACCGAAATATCGTGATCTCTTTTTGGATCGTATAATTTTGAGAGAGACATTTTCATAAAAGAATTTGGTTAAGCTTTAAATGCCAAAAAAATTATTTTTAAATGTTAGACGACAATATATTTATTCTTTATAATCATATAATGTAAATTATATAAATTTTATTTATATTTTTATATATTTATATGTTATTTTTTCCATTTATTAAAAATATGGTACAAATCGAATTGAATTCTGACAATATCAATATTTGATAATACCGTTACAGGTATAATATCAATATTACTGAATAATTCTACGTATACCGAGATTATGAAATTTCAGTTTATATCGGTATTTGATGTCCAAATGTATATATTTATTACAACTTTCTAGAATATCGGTATTATGAAATTAGAGATATTTTTATAATATACCGATATAGATTTTCGAGCACGAAATTATTTCGACAGTCTTTAGAAGCGAATATGTTATAATCCATATAGCGTAACGCACTGTTTATCCGCAATGAGGAGAGTCGATATCTCTGCCAGCGCGTTATCTCGCGCGATAAGAATGACGTGTGCGAATGACTACTCATGGAGAATATATTTTCTCAGAATCTACATTGTGAAAAATCAAAAATATTTTAAATTATAATCGCTAACGATTGCTCTTCAAACAATTTGTCAAAATGAAATAGAAACAGCTGATAGCGTTACACGACGTATAGACGTCAAGTATTTCTGACGAAATAATTTGATGAAGAAATATTTTGTGTGAACAAAATCACACAGTTTGTCTCCGTCGAGGATTTGTCTCACGATAATGAGAACGATTTTACCGCTCGATGCGAACGAGCGTAACAAATTATTAGGCAGTGATTCAAGTGCCAATTTTACGGTTTCTTTCGAAATTTTCTCGCTTAAATGGGAAAGTGTTATGCTATTCTTGGCTCAAGGCAGGATGTATTGTTCCACCAATAAATTCGTATCTCGAATACACGCATTTTTATGAGTTTGATATCCGCAAAGTTCTTCGATTCCGCGCGGAGAACGCGTTTGAAGAACCGTTTTAAATTCGAAAGAAAATAACATTCTTTTTTTCTCAAATGTTGATCTCATTTATACGATACTTCTCAAGTAGGCCATCGAAAATCGCATAAGGTCATGACGCTTTGTGTCTGAAAATCTTACCGAGTATCGAATAACATTTAGCATCGTGCCACGTGCTTTATATATGTGTGTTGGTTGATATTAGGATACACGTCGCGACGGCTGAAAATTCCCTGGGCAACAATTCTATTAATAGCCCGATCTGGAAGATATTTTTTACCTCGCGAGCAATCGTCGGCGAAGTGACTTGCCTTACACGGCGATATAATTCGAATTCTATATTATCAATTATTTCACGATGTCAACCGTACTCGCGATAATTATACTACTTTAAATTGAACAAACGATCCGTTCGCACGCTCGACCTCGTCTCTAATGTAAATTATTAAATTTCAACTCGATTTCAAATCGATTCTTGCTGCTCGCGTCTGAACGATCCGTACGAAATTGTCGAGTTATCGGGGACGAGACGAGTCTCCCGAAAGCAGGTAATTTTTCATTAATTCACAAATTCATTCGATGTTCCTAGATATTATTTACTTGACAGCATATTTAAATTGGCAAGATGCGCTAGAATTCGACGACTATATCTTTCGGTGACCTCTTTCAATCGTCCTCATTCAAAATTCCAAAATGAGGGAGGGGCGAGAGAAGGATGGGAGAGGAGACGCGAGACGCCTCATTTTTCGTAGGGGAGCTTGCAAAGGCAGAATAGGAGAGGGAGAGGGGGAGTTTGGGCTAGGTCAAGCCGAGTTAGTTCGTCCCCGAGTGGCAATCGAGGGGATAAAGGTTCGGGATGTATAGCTCGGCCGTTTCATCCAATTTCTCAGCGGAGAGGTCGGGGACAGACGGGCGGGCGGGCGGGCGGGCGGGCGGGCAATGTTCGCCCGTACGGGGGTGGATTTCTCCCAACCCTCCTATCCTCCTTCCCTCCCTCTCCCCTCCCTCCCTCCTTCCGCCACTCGACACAATGGCACAACAAAGCGTTACCAGGGTAACTGGCCGGCGAAGCGGTTGCCATCACAAAACTTTTCAACTTGTGATTGCAAACATTAACGTCGCCGCACCGGCACACGCGCGCTGCCGTGCGGATTCACACGCACGACATGCCGTTCTCACACGCCCGTCCGGCACGCGAGCGCGCGTGCCTGGGACACGCACTTTGTTGTTTCCACTAAGTGCCGGGTGGAAAACAACGACGGTGGTGGTATTGGTAGCGGCGGCGGCGGCGACGGCGGCGGCGATGACGACGACGACGACGACTGCGGCTGCGGCTGCGGCCGTGGCGCCGAGCAGGGGGTAAGGGAGGACGCCGGCAATGGTCGGTGCTTCTTTGTGAATCGTTATGGTTCAAGGTTTCTTTTTATTACCTGCTTTGTAGGTTGAATTTGTTTTCCCTTTGCGGGAGAGGAAGTGTCAGTCCCCTGATAGCAGGTGCGCGTAACAAAGTTAATGCCCTGCAGCTAACGTCAAATCTTTTTTTAACTTGGAATCTTCATGCCGCGAAAAAGAAGTAATGATTGCCGAGGCGTATCGATATTACAGATGTTTGTCGGATTATCATCGATGTTAGGTAGAGATATTTGAACGTGTTCGAAGCTCGGTTTGAAGATCGAAGTCCGAAGGAACGAAAAACGTAAAAACGTTCTTTTTATTTAACCAACGTGCTCGCTCTATTTGTAACGTAAACAAAGATGGTGAAACGGAGTTAACCGCGATTAGCATTGACCAA